CATACAACTATCTACTGGGGCTTTGGGGAAAAAAAAGGAGGAGGATTGGCAATAGATGTTAGCTCAGAGCCGGTCTTCCTCAGCAAAAAGAGAAGGATTGGCATGGATGTTAGCTCAGGGCTGATCTTCCTCAAAAAAAAAAAAGAAAAACATAAAATGGAAGAGAGTGAGATGTGGGTCTGGGGTTGGAGGTTTGAAGAGAGCTGAAGATTTGGAATAGCCATTGAGGAAAATGGGAGATAAAGCAGAAGGGAATGGGAGATAGAGCTGACCTTGGATGAGATTGCTAAGTAGAGTTGGGGGTTGTAACTTGGAATGCATACAAAGTATTTGTAATGGCATAATTGCTTAAATTTTTTTTTTCCTTTAGCAATTCCCAAATTTGAGCTGAACGAGCAAAGAAAGGAAAGTGTTTTTGAGTCATGGTTAGGATTATAAAACATGCTTAGTAGAAGGACAAGGGGTCAAAGGAATCCTAGCAAGATAATAAGTGAGGTGATGAATCCTGGTATCTGGGATGAATAAGGAGGGAAGTGAAACTAGAAGTCTTGGAGAACAGGAATAAAGGAATTAGAGATCTTAGGGATCAAGGAGTAAATGTAAGAATAAGAAAGTACGACAGTTGAAAGAATTAGGGGTAATATTCAAGAAGTAAAATTATAGAGTTGAAAATATCAGTGATAGAGCTGTTCTGACAAATGACAACAGTCCAGAGTTTGGCCTAGGAAGTGAAGAGCCAAATTTACATACATTTTAAGATTTGGAAAGGAGAGAGACTCTTTCCCAGCGTCCATGTCAATCACCCAAAAGAACTGTGATTGGGGCCGCTTTGGTCATTTGGTCAACTGCAAAGCGTACCAGTAATTTTTTTTTTGTATGTAGTAACAACTTTATTAAGTTATAATTAACATACCACACAATTCACCCATTTAAAATATACAATTCAGTTGTTTTTAGTGTATTCACAATATTGTGCAACCATCACCACAATCAATTTTAGAACATTTTCATCACCCCCAAAGAAACTCCACTGCTTTTAGCAGTCACCAGCCCCCCACCCCCACCCGGCGACCCTAGGTACACTAATCTATTTTCTTTCTCTAGATTTGCCTATTCTGGACATTTCATACAAATGGAATCTTATAATACGTGGGCTTTTGTGACCGGCTTCTTTCACTTACCATAATGTTTTCAAGGGTCATCCATGTTGTATCAGTATTTTCATTCCTTTTTGTTGTTGAATTATATTTCATTGAATAGATACATCATATTTTATTTATCCATTCAAGAGTTGATGGACATTTGAGTTTCCATTGTTTGGCCATTGTGGATAATGCTGCTATGAACATTTGTGTATAAGTTTTTGTGTGGATATATGTTTTCATTTCTCTTGGGTGTGTACCTAGGAGTGGCATTGTTGAGTCTATGGTGAATTTTTTTTGTGTGAGGAAGATCAGCCCTGAAATAACATCCATGCCAATCCTCCTCTTTTTGCTGAGGAAGACCAGCCGTGAGCTAACATCTATCGCCAATTCTCCTCCTTTTTTTTTTTTGCCCTTTTTCTCCCCAAAGCCCCAGTAGATAGTTGTATGTCATAGTTGCACATCCTTCTAGTTGCTGTATGTGGGACGCCACCTCTGCATGGCTGGACAAGCAGTGCGTTGGTGCACGCCCGGGATCTGAACCCGGGCCACCAGTAGCAGAGCGCACGCACTTAACCACTAAGCCATGGGGCTGGCCCCTCTATGGTAAATTTATGTTTAACCTTTGAGGAACTGCTAGACTGTTTGCCAAAGTGGCTGTACCATTTTACATTCCTACAGCAATGTATGAGGGCTCCAGTTTCTCCAAACCCTTGGTCACACTTGTTATAATTTGTCTTTTTGTTTATAGCCATCCTAGTGGATGTGAAGTGCTATCTAATTGTAGTTTTGGTTTGCGTTTCCCTAACGATTAATGATGTTGAGCATCTTTTTGTATACTTATTGACTATTTGTGTATCTTTTTTGGAGAAATGTCTATTCAAATTCTTTGCATGGTTTTTAATTGTATTTTTTTTTGTTATTGAGTTTTAAGAGTTCTTTATGTATTCTGAACATAAGACCCTTATTGGATATCTGATTTGCAGATATTTTCTTCCAGTCTGTGAGTTGTCTTTTCACATTCTTGATG